AATTAAAAATAATTTTTTACCTGAATTTTATTTTCCTTTTTCAAATTATTATATTTATACATAAACTAGAGCATCACATTTTCGACGAATGAAAGGTGAAGATTTAGTAACTTTCACTTTTATTAATTTAATTAACTTTATTAACATCATGAAACGCGATATCCCAAACTCAGGGATATTTGCGCCAATACATTTCACTGCATTACAGCAATTCGGCTATATACAATCCTGTTCAATTCATTATTTTACATAAATTAACTAAAGAAAATTGTCCAAAGAGAAAAACAAACAACAAAGCAAAACACACAGAGCAAGCATCGCAGTTCTTTTTTTTTTTTTCTAAGATTCCTTCTCTTTTTTCCAATTCAAGAGAAAGTTGTATATGTATTTACAAAATTGATCAAAATTTTTATACTTTTCTTTTTTGTCTACAAATTCATCAAGCTGTCCAATACGACCAAATCTATTTTCCCTAAAATCCCGGAAAATTGGGCACTCCAGAAGTAGATGTCTCGCGTCTTGAATTTCACCTCCGCAGAAGCATCCTGGTTCCTTCACGGCGCCGATAGTTGCCAAAAATTTCCCAAAATTGCCATGATCTGTAATGAATTGGATATTATAAAAATTTGGACGGAAAAATCTTGGAATTCCTAATACGAAAAAGCTTCTGAAAATTTCATTAGTGTTCTCAAAAATTTCATTCATTTTTGCGTGTAAGAATGATTTGACTATACTTGGAGCATGGGGTTCGTAAGTAGTTAGATCTTCAATGGACATTTGAGCTAGATCAAATTTGATTATTCTGGATTCTATATAATCTGTTAGGAGTGGAATTTTTGCCAAGCTATGCACACAGTTTGATGAAGTGGTTTAATGGTACTTTTATGGTATGTTGTAAAGATGGTGAATGGAGATAAATTGGTAAAATTCCTTTTTCGATTCGAACCCAGGAACACAATCATACGAAACAATCATTGATTCAATGTTACCACCGGCTTCTTCCTAGATTCTTGCAGTAAATATACTGGTTTCTTAACTCCAAATCAGTTTGATATTATATAAATAAAAAGATAAACGCATCGACTAACACTGTCTTTATTTTGAGTTGGAGATGGAAACATGGAATTTTCATCTATGCTATCCCAGAGGGCGACATGATCGATCTCTATAAAAAAAAACAAATCTCAACTCCCAATGGGCTCCATGTTGAAACCTCGTGACACGACCACATCGTATTTATCTACAGAGATAATTTAAGACGGTAAAATGAAATTTGCAGCTATAGTAAAGCTGAAGTATACTGGCACAATAACAATCAGTATACTGGCACAATAACAATCAGTATACTGGCACAATAACAATCAATATACTGGCACAATAACAATCAGTATACTGGCACAATAACAATCAGCATACTGGCACAATAACAATCAGTATACTGGCACAATAACAATCAGTATACTGGCACAATAACAATCAGCATACTGGCACAATAACAATCAGCATACTGGCACAATAACAATCAGTATACTGGCACAATAATAATCAGCATACTGGCACAATAACAATCAGCATACTGGCACAATAACAATCAGCATACTGGCACAATAACAATCAGCATACTGGCACAATAACAATCAGTATACTGGCACAATAACAATCAGCATACTGGCACAATAACAATCAGCATACTGGCACAATAACAATCAGTATACTGGCACAATAACAATCAGCATACTGGCACAATAACAATCATAATACTGGCACAATAACAATCAGCATACTGGCACAATAACAATCAGCATACTGGCACAATAACAATCAGCATACTGGCACAATAACAATCAGTATACTGGCACAATAACAATCAGCATACTGGCACAATAACAATCAGTATACTGGCACAATAACAATCAGTATACTGGCACAATAACAATCAGAATACTGGCACAATAACAATCAGCATACTGGCACAATAACAATCAGCATACTGGCACAATAACAATCAGTATACTGGTACAATAACAATCAGTATACTGGCACAATAGCAATCAGTATACTGGCACAATAACAATAGTATACTGGCACAATAACAATCAGTATACTGGCACAATAACTGCCATTAAACAATACCACAGGTTTATAGATATGAATATCTTTTCATTTTATTAAAGTAGTCTAAAGCTTTCAGGCATTTTTGCCCTTCTACAGGAGAACATACTATACATAATAAACAAATAAAACACCGCCTGATAATAATAGTTTAACATCAGGCGGCGTTTTATTTTTTTATTCATGTTCTCCTGTAGAAGGGCAGAGATACCTGAAAGCTTTAGACTACTTTAATAAAATGAAAAGATATTCATATATCTATAAACCTGTGGTATTGTTCAATTTTTGTCCAGGAGATTTAAATCAATTTATACAATAACTACCATCATAGATATGTATAATACTTATCTCCTTTGTAAAAAAGAGACCCTATATACCTTCCACCATATAATACGAAGAATCTCAGTTATTTCATTTCTGATATCATAAGATTAGGATCTCTTCTATCAAATGGAATTATAAATGCTTAAAGTTCTTGAGAGATTTCAAATGAAGAAATAAGAAATCAATAATTGGGTATTTACGACCAAATTTGCCTAAATACCTTGTTCATGTAAAAGAAATTGAAAAAAAAAGGGTCAGGTGTTGATGTTAAAATAAAGAAGACATATCCTGACCGCTCTGGCAGAGCGTCAACTAGTGGGAAAATAATCGATCAAACGTTGGGTTGACTCGTTCCAGTTCTTGATTTCTCATGAAACCTCGTTGAACATATTTTTGGTCATTGGGGTACAGCCTACACCACGCCTGTAGAGGGCCAACAGCCCGAAACGCGTTCGTGGATGGATTTTCTTCATTTATAAAGAAAATGGGTAAGCCAAATATCATGGAACAAATCAAATCAACGTTTTGTTGATTTTTGTTCCACTAGATGGCGCTCTGCCATCTAAAATGATCGTGAGCGGTCAGTATATGTCTATTTTGTTTTTAATATATATATGTGGAATTTTTTGGCCTAGCCACTGCCAGCTAAACACCTCTTTGCAATATTGTGAAGATTCCTTTGGATCACTTGTGGATCTCATGGAATAAAGTCCGCCCTAAGCTGACGAGGGCCATTAGCCCTGAAACCATGGTCTCTAGGTGGACGTTTCTCAGTTTGTCAAAGCTGGTGTTGTGGCTTTGTCCCCGACCCGAGGCCGCTAGTTTGCGATGACGGTTAATAG